CCTTTCTTTGCAAAGTTATAGAATTTACAACAAAAGCCCTAAATGTTCATTGTCAGCTAAAAGCTACAGAAATAAGAAGAAATTAATTTAGGGCTCTTCGTGTAAATTCTATAACCTTGCAAAGAAAGGTCATGTAGAATTGGGAGAGGTCTCATCTTAATCAGAAATGTGCGGGCTACAATCATGCCTCATTAAGAACGGTTCGGGTTAGTTTTTGGGGTTTCTGAAAAATTCGTTTTCTAGAAAACCAGGTCTTTGAAGGGCTATGCGGAAGCCACATGGTCGTATTCGTAATCAGCATGGTCGATAACCTATAACCCACTAGATTCCGAGCAAAAAGCGTTTAATCACTTCGTGGGGTTCCCTCGTAAGTTGTTCTTCTTCTCCAAGGGAACACAACTAAATCAACCTTATTGCATCGAACATCGTTACATTTTTAGAAGTGCGTACGATGAAATAAACATGAAAGAGTTTCAGTTTTAAGAGATTGTCGTTCTTCAGGAAGATCGATGTGTACCTGAGTCTTTCGGCACTCCTTCAGCAGCAAAAATGAGCACAACTACTTTATGCCGAACATATTTACCATATCTGTTCTCATGATTCGTCCTATATTTCAGAGAAACTTTACAAGAAGATGACGAATCCTCTTCAAACTGAACCTACTGAATCTGATCTCTATCGAGGCTCACTTGTCGATGCACCGCCCTTTAAGTCAAAGACAATTCGTATTTTTATTAGCTCACCTTTTACTGGTGAGTGTCACAGTCAATCGTTGTTTGTGAATACCGCGACGTTACTTGTACATTTTGCTGTATGTAGACATGGTCGATGAACGTAACGTATTGATAGAATAGGTCTATCCAAAACTGAAAAGCTATAGCAAAGAAACATATGGACTACAGTTTCAGGTGAGGAAATACACAGTCGGGTGACACAAATACCATAGCACATCCAGATGATTTCTTGTTTGAAACTGGAGGAAATTATCACATCTTGCTTCAAAAAATGAGTAACAACACTGAGAATCATTTTCTTCCGGTGTATTCTAGTATTCTGGTATGCGTTGGGGTATTCAAGATTCAGCTTGGGAAGAACATTCAACTACTCGAGAATGTTTAACAGAATTAGATCGATGCTATGATTATGATTCACTAGCAACAAATTCTATAGTTTGTTTGCTTTAAAAAAAAATGCGTGCATGTTCTTAGGTGTTCTATTGTTACCGTTTGCACGACATGTTTATACAGTTTATTCCTCACTTTTAATTTTGTTAAAGTAATTCTTAGTCATCGATATGGTACTCGAGCTCTTCCTGCAACAATTTCACCTCACATATTCACTTCATTAAAACCATTTCTGTCAAAGTCAGATCTGCAGTTAATTGAAAAATGGTATTTATTGGACACAAATCCAGATAGACCATTTTATGGACTGCAGCGAATGAACAAAGAATTTCCAGCTGATGAAAGTGAATTACGTGATTCAATATATTGGGTTGCTATGAGAAGAGAATGATATTATGAGGATCGGATGTTAGGCAAAGTAACAAATTGTGAAGACTACAAATTTCTACACGCGACTATAGAATCTGACGAATTAAAGCCCATAAAAAAATACATGTCAGACAATGGTCTCTCTTTGATTGAAAAATGGTTTTATTATGATTAGCAGATGAAAAACAATATCAGCTACAATCATCTCAGTCAGTTGAATCGTTTGAACAAAACCAAAAGAGAGTTTTCAAAGTATTTAGGAGAGCAGCTGTTCAATGTCAGACATTAACACATGAAGAAAGAGAACAATTTTTTACCTCAGATAGGTTAGATGCTCATAGGTTGATGAGGAAATATATTTAGGTGTGGATTCTGATTTCATTCGTCCATAGCCGGTTCGACAGGGCATATCGAGCTGGTAAAAAGCCTAAGAGAATTTTCTGCCATGGCTCTTCCTTCAAAAGTTATGAACGTTTTTCGCTTTCTCACCGTCAAACTCTGGAAGATGAGTCAAGAACTCTGCCAGATGAAAGAATGGAAGTCTGAAATTTTCAGAAAACTCGCTTGATTAGATTTAGATAACACAGTGAAAGTTGTGGCCATCGAGCTCCTTTCGTCTGCGAAAAATACAATTTTTAAGTTTTCTGAGTATTCGTCTACGTACAAGTTGACCGTCAAATGCCAGTGACTCATCCAATTCCCTTTCAAATTTATTCAAAAATTTCCAATATAAATCCAGTTTTGAAAGGCAGATAAGAATCTTCGGTCAAGATCACGGTTTTCTTATATTTTACTTCAAAAGTCTTATAAACGGTTTCTAGAAAACCTAGATTTGGTGCGTACTCAGAACTGCGGTTTTGATTGAGAATCCTACTTTACCATTTAAAACTGTGTTTATACTAAAATTTGAATGAATTTGAGGGAGAGTACGATGAGTCAATGATATTTGATGGTCACCCGTCGATGGACGAATACACGACAATAAATCTGACGATAGATTCGTACAGCGCTAACTTCGATGTGTGTATATACAGCTTTCAGAATATCATTTGCATCTAACTATGAGGATTTGCTGAAGGTTCTAGGTATCTACTCTCTTACTTGACGGAGTTATCGATTTTTCTATTTTTCAGTGTTATCGCGACGAAAAATAGAAAAAGCTTCATAACTTTCGACGGAAAGGCTGTGGGAAAAATGCTTTTCGGCTTTTCTTGGTATACTCTATCAATCGACTGAAATGAAGGCAATCGCAGTCAGACACTTAAATATGTTTCCTAGTTACGAAAGCAATTTAGTTCGTTAAAAGTGTTCTCAGTGTTTGCAACATTTCCTCACTGTTTGGATCTTTCATTTTCTTAAGTAACGGCTCAAGAAGTACAGTATGCATTAAAGAGAAATAAAAACCTGAAAAATCGTCTGCTCTGCTTTAGAGTTTATTCTTATTAAGACTTTGTATACCTCAATATCAGATAGGGTGAACGATGACATGACGATTTTTGGATCATCTAATTTAGGGAAAGTATGGTTTATAGGTTTATTTGCTGTATAAATTTTAGAGAAATGTCTATTAAGGACATTAGCCTTTTCTCGAGGATGATTTAGGATAACATCATTCACAGGATCAACAAGAAACGGGAAAGAGCCATGTCTATGTCTTCCGAGTGCGTTCTTGACCACAGATCACCTGGAATTTTCCAAGAATTATTATAGAATAGTTCAACTTAAATTACGGCTTTTAAGCGAGCCGGAGGAAAAAACTTTTGGAGTGCCCTATGTACTTATACTACAGTAGCAGTCATCAACCAGACGAATGTGAAAACTTGCTATTAAAATTGGTGAATATAGGAAAATGGATGGATTATTATGAAAATGACGATAATCATACTTGATTAATGCAGAGAAAAAATAAACAGATTCCGTAACCGATAAAAATGCAGTTTTTAGGACGAGTTAAGTTTCTTAACTTAAAAAAAGTTAAAAAGTTAAGTTAAAAAGTTTTTCAAATAGAAAAAGCTCGGAAGCTCTATTTGAGACAGAGAAGTATTTTGATAAAAATGAGGTTCAAACACATCATCTGTCAAGTTTTTTGTTAATAGTGAAAGACTTGCTACTTCTCCTTTCAGGACGAGATGATGTAAGGAGACGCTAATTCGAAGTTCGATCATTTTTTTCTTCCTAAGACACATGTTCTTTTTCGATGTGAGCTAATGAGCACGCATATAATTCCACTTTTTCGAATTAGGCGCCTTTTCATGGAGAAAAACGGAAAGTACAAATCGGTAAATCACGAATGTTCAAGAATATATCAACAAAATTTTACGCTACCTCTTTTCGGAACACATTTTTTTCAGGTTATAATATCAAAGTAACTCTAAAACAAACGTTGGACTGTGCAAAGCTATATCATTATTACAAGAGTGGATTAAAAGTGCTCACGACGACGATGTCAGGTACAAAAAGTGATAAGCAGTCTGCGAAGTGTATTCGAGTCAAATATCTGTGAAATGCCACGGATCGTGTTTAAAACTATCAAAAGGACTTCCCGAGTGTTTTTGTCTAACTTTAAATATTACAAAGTTCTATTCTAAGAAAAAAACTCTTGAAATATACAATTAACAAGGTTTACAATTGGAAAACACACATAGGGACATGGAACGTAAGGTTTGTTAAACTGATCTGAATGTTTTGTACAAAGGCGACAATATTCTTTGTCGCTAGTTCCACATCCTACGTCTATACAAGGTGATTGATAATACATTCCATTTCCAACATCTCGATTATATTTTTTTTTCAAACGCATCTTAGAACACGGTCGTTTTAATGGCAACCGACATTCATCATCCTCAAGGACGTCACTTGTCGGTGTGGCGGTCGCCTTTGATGATAATAAGTCCGATGTACCCACGAAAAAATTTTTTATAAAAGTTTGCGTTTCAACGCCAACTTTTGGGAAAAAAACATTATATTTGCGTTTAAACGCATTCTGTTTTATTATAACGCGTTGGAACGCATCCTTTTCAATTTAC